AATGGGTCTTAAACGCCAAACCTACAAAAAAGCTCAAGAGGCGGCGAGAAAAGATATTGAACAAGCCTTTGGGGTCTTGAAGGCTAAGTGGCACATTCTAGATCGTCCGTCGAAATGTTATTCTCAGACAAAAATGAGGAATATCATGTACGCATGTATTATTCTTCATAATATGATCATAGAGGATAACGGGTCTGCGATTTGTCAATACAACCCGGACGAGGAGGTGCCAATGTACGAAGAAATCACCGAAGAAAAGAAGCGACGCAACCGCCAAGAAATTCGAAGCCGAGAGATTCACAATGCACTAACGGCGGATTTGATCGAGCATATCTTTAATCGTTCGAATAATTAGTGATTTCTTTGTACTGTTGTTTTTTTTATGTAATTTTTTTTAATGTTTTTTTTATTAATGTAAGATTTTTTTTATAATGAATTTAATTTTTTTTATGCAATAGTGTCATTGCGATTAATTAAAATAATAAATTAATTTAAATTTATAAATTTATATTTAGAAGATGTATATTTAAAAATGTAAAAAATGAAGGTTTGAAGCCCCAGTTTGAAGCCCCGGGGCTTCAAAACCATTTCCAGTGAATTTTGGGTGTAAGTTAAAGCTGACATGACAGAGAGAGAAAGTTTGAAGCCCCGGGGCTTCATGACCATTACCAGTGCTCTAAGTGGATGAAAAACCAAATTCATCCCATTTTGGTGAGAAAAAATTAGGCCCCGTTTGGTACACGGAATTCAAATTATAGAATTGGAATTAAGGACTTCAATTCCAATTCTAGTGTTTGGTAGTACAAAAATTATGTGGATTTGAAATTGATAGGGTAAAAAATGAATTGGAATTGGTCCACATAATTTTTGTGCTACCAAACATGAGAATTGGAATTGAAGTCCTCAATTCCAATTTCATAGTTTGAATTCTGTGTACCAAACGGGGCCTCAGTTCCAATTCAATCTCAATTCCGTCAATTCCGTATACCAAACGGACCGTTAGAGAAAATCATTTTCTTTTCCTTTCTTTTCAAATTACATGGACCAATTATTGTGTAAATATTTTGTTGAATTCTATTCCTTCTCATATCCAAACTGATCTGCTTCACCTTTTGTTTCGTCTCCTTCGTGCTTCACAGCCTTCATCAACGATCGATCTTGTGTCTCCAAGGAATTGCAGTGTCCTTCAAGCCTTGAATCTGGGCTTTTTTTGCAATAATTCATTGTATGGAGTATTTTTGTGTAATTCATATCATAAATATTGTACGGAGATTTTTTCACTTGTTCAAATTTTGCTTCTTGCAAGTTTTTTTGAAAAATGCTAGGGTAACAAATAATTTAGACACAAAATTTACAAACTTGTCATTTGTACACTTTCCTATGAGAATAAAATAATTTTAAATAATTATAAAATAAAAATTAAAATACACAAATGACAAGTTTGTATAGTCTATGTCCAAGTTGTTTGTGACTCTAGCACTACTTAAGTTTTTTTCACGATATTGTTCTCTTTTTGTTTTCTTCCATTTTCAAGGTATAATTTTTTTTAATTTTATTCTATAATGCTTTTGTTATTTCTATAAAACAAACAATATTTGTAAAGTAAAATTTGCACTAAATAGGACTAAAACATAATGACTTTTTCAATGTAGGACTTAAACTTTTTTATTCCCTGAATATGACTTAATAATTACCTAGTGAGAAGAATAATGTCCAGTAATGATAGACATTTACTTGAATAATGACTACTTGATAATGATCAAAAGTCCTACATTGGGAAATAAAAACATATGGTCCTTTATTGGAAAAGTCATTATGTTTTAGTCCTATTTAAGTAAATTCCTCATTTGTAAAATCATTTACGATTCCAGGTTTTGTAGAGAGTATCACTATCTCTCTCTCTCTCTCATATATATATATATATATATATATATATATATATATATATATATATATATATATATATATA